CCAGTGCTCCCTATGTACATTTTTCTGATCATTTCCTTTTCAATTATCAACGGTCACTATAAGTAAGTTCAAAGATTTTCCAATTCTTCACAACATTTACATGTTTTGTTTGAAAAAAATTTTTAATCAAAATTTTTTTTATAGGATATAAGTACTTTGATTTTTTTTTTTTCCCTCAATATCAACAAGTATTTGATTCTAATCCATTTTAGCTCTTAAAATTTAGGAATAAAATTATTTTTAAACTATGTTCTTTCAATCAAATACTACAAGAAAAGACTAAAAGCAATTTAATTCATATTTTTAAAAGTATTATAAGAGTTGATTGAGATGATGTTACTTTAGAATGATTTTTCTCTTAATTGTTATGAGTTAAAGCAGATATGTATTTTTCTAGTGTTGTTATTGATGTTGTTATTATTATTATGTAATCTTTCTCTTAATTCTATTATTTTTTCAGTTCTAATACTAAATCCTAATTAACATTTTCTACACTTAAGTATCTTTAAAATCATAATATTATATCTTCTAACCTCCATCTTCTTCCTTTAGTTTTTAAAATAAATTTTACCAACATTAAATATCTTAAAAATCAAAACCTTTCTCCCTTCCTGCCTCTCTTATTTTCTACCTTCTATCCTCTTTCAACTTCTCCATTTAATATAAATTTTCTAAACATTACTCAACATTAAGGGCATATTTGGTATAATGATTAAAACTCAACAAATAATGGATAGCGAGTAGTAAATAGCATATAGTAGTAATGGGTAGCAAATAATAGTTCATGGATAGTGGTGATGAATAGCAAAAAGCAGATAACGGATAATAAATAACATATTTGATTAATATAACTATTTAATTATACAATATATAGTTAATGATTGTTATTCAAAATTAAATGACTAATAAAGATATCTTTAAAAGCAATTAAGTACATTTTTTTCTTTTTATATTTTTTATTATTAAAATTATTAATTTTATAAAAAATAATAAAAATAAATTATAATTGGTAGTCATACACTAATTTTATTTTTAATAAAGAAAAATTATATTAGTTTTGTATTAGCGTCTTCATCTAATTAGTAAATTTTATTTATTAAGTTAATATATTTTTATGATAAATTAATTTACAAATAAAAATATAATAATTATTTTAAATTATTAACGATAGAAAATAAAGTTGAAACTAATTAGATAAGTATTAATTAAAAACTATGACTAAAAATTAAAAAAATTCAAATGGATAAATTTATTAATAAAATTAAAACATTCCAACTTGCTAACAATTTAGTACAAAAGCTATCTTAGGTAGCTTTTTTAATTTACTAGTGGTTTGGACTATAATCGCTATCATCTAGTGCCAAACTACTAACTAAAAAATTGTACCACATACTTAATTTGTAGTGGTTTCAAATAAATAAATTTACTAAATACTTATCCTTAGCAATTTGGGCAAAATTGCTAACCATTACTCTCAAACTGTTATATCAAATGAATCCTAAGTATCTTAAATAGCATAATTCATCTTCTCCCTTTAGTATATAGGATTTTTCTAACTTATTCCCTAAGGACACAAGTTAAGAGTTCCTTTTTTCTATAAATATCTATAGAAAAATGTAAAAACTAACATTACTTTCAAAGTTATTGCTACTTAGATAAATTTAACTAGAGGAATGATAAATTAAATACCAATATTTATTTTTTCAAGGCTCTTAACCTGTGCTCTTATGGAACATGTTAGAAAAACCCTAGTACAT